CTAGGCAACATAGTGAGACATTTACTCTATAATAAAAATCAAAAAATTAGCCAGGCATGGTGGCACACACCTGTAGTCCCAAATACAGAGGAGGCTGAGGTGAGAGAATCACTTGAGCCCAGAAGGTCAAGGCAGCAGTGAGCTATGACTGCACTTCAGCATGGGTGACAGAATAAGACCCTATCTCTAATTGAAAAGTAATAATGTATAATACACAGAATTTTTGCTAAAAGAGATTTTATTTTAGATGCTCTTGCCATACACACATAGAAATGGGTAACTCTGTAAGATAATGAATATGCTAATTTACTTGGTAATAAGTAACCATTTCACAATCTATGTGTATATCAAACACCATGTTGTACACCTTAAATAAATACAATGAGTTTACAAGGAAAAAAAAAAACACAGCTAGAAAGAGAATAAGTACATGAAGAAAGTAAACAGTAAAGACCAGAAATCAATACAATGAGAAAAAAGAAATCAACAGAATTAAAGACTTTGTAAAAAGGCTTATAACATTGACACACTTCTGTTAAGAACAACTGAGGAAAAGAAGACAGTAGACATAAATAAGTAGTATTAAGAAAGAAAAAATGAGCAGAGGCGAGAAGATTGCCTGAGCCCGCGGGTTCAAGACCGTCCTGGGCAACATGGTGAGACCTCATCTCTACAATAAATCAAAAATTAGCCGGGCGTGGTAGTGCACGCCTATAGTTTCAGCCACTTGGAAGGCTAAAGCGGAAGGACCACTGGAGCCCAGCAGGTCAACACTGGTGTGGCCATGAGCATGCCACGACACTCCAGCCTGGGCAACAGAGTGAGACTCCAACTCAAAAAAAAAGAAAGAAAGAAAGAACAAGGAGATATGATTATCAAAAAAACCTTAATAATCTTATGGATAACTTCATGACAACAACTTGGAAAACAGAAAAAATAAAAAATCCCCTAGAAACATACAACTTAGTAAATTAAATCAAGAAGAAAAAGAAAATCTAAGCAGTGTTATAATCATTAAAGAAGCTGAACCTAATGCATACACATGCACACAAATAACCAGATCCAGATGATTTTCTAAGTTCTATCAAACATGCAAGGAACTAATAATCTTGCTTTTTTATAGACCACCCCATTAAGAAAGAAAGACAGTTGTACTCTTCAACTCATATGATGAGGCTAAAACATAGTCTTTATGCCAACACCAGATAAGGGTAATACTAGAAAATTATGCCCATCACTATTAGAAAGTTACATTAAGGCTAATCTCACATACAAACATAGACTCAAAAATCCTAAATTAATACAGTTTTAGCAAACCAAATCCATCAACAACAAAATGTTTTTGGGCAACAAAATGAGATATTATCTCTAAAAAAATAAAAAAATTAGCCACGCATGATGGCGTGCGCCTATAGCCCCAGCTACTCCAGAGACTGAGACAGAAGATTAGCTGAGCCAGGAGGTTGAAGTTGTAGTGATCCACGAGTGTGCTAATGCACTCCAGTCTAGGTGCCAGAGTGAGACCCTGACTCAAAAAAATACCAAAAAAACAAATTCAGCAATGTACATACAGATTATGCATCAAGAGCAAGTAGGGCTCTTATTAAGAATATAAAAGTGGTTTAACATCAGAAAAAGCTATGGAGGTTGAGTCACCACCTTCATAGATTTGAAAAATCCATCATCTCAATAAATGTAGTTAGAGGTCAGGTATGGTGGCTCATACCTGTAATCCCAGCATTTTGTGAGGCTGAGGTGAGAGGATTGCTTGAAGCCAGGAGTTTGAGACCAGTCTGGACTGCACAGCAAGACTGAATCTCCATAAAAATTTGTTTTCTTAAAAAAAATACTAGGTTGGCATGGTGATGCGCACTTGTAATCCCAGTGTACTTAGGAAGCTAAAGTGGAAGGATCACTTGAGCCCAGGAGTTTGAGGCAGCAATAAACTGTCATCATGCCACTGCATTCAAATGGGTGGTGGGGGCGCGGCGGGGGCAGGCCGAAGGGGAGGGTTGAGATTGGCAGCAGTGGGAGGGGTGGGCCATACCTCATCAACAAGAGTACCTACATAATGAACATTTGTATAACTAACCCTGAGTTGTATCCCACACATTCAAAAATTTTTCAAAGTAAAAATTTTAAAAATGCAGTACGAATATTTGATTAAAATTTAATATCCATTGAAAAATAACTCCTAGCAAAATAGGGTCAGAAGATATTTGTTTAAAAGAGACTACCAAAAGGAAACATAATTCTGGATGTTAACATACAAAAAGTGTTCCCTATAAAGTCAAGAAATAAACCAAAGACGTCTATTACCACCCACAACATTCAATCAAATTGTACTAGAGTTCCTAGCCAAACCAGTGAAGAGGGAGGGAACATATGTACACATAAGTGCGCCAAAACACATGTACAAGAACGTTCACGGTAGCATTATTTTAGCTCAAAACTGGAAGCAACCCAACCAATTACTGAACAGATAAATTTTGGTATATACCTTCAATAAAATACTATAAAAAATGCACAAAGAACTGCTACATGTACAATATGAACAAATCTCACAAATAGATTGTTACCAAAAGAAGACAGACACAAAAGAACCCATACTGAGTTCAAGAAGGTCAAAACTAACTGTAGTGCTAAAGTAAATAGAGTAGGTTATCTATCAATATAGTGGGAGAATGACAACTGAAAGGGACATGAAGGAAGCTTCCAGAGTACAAGCGACATTCTATTTCTTGATCCAGAGGTTGGTTACAAGGTTGTGTTCTCTTTGTGAAAATTCACTGAGCCATAACTTATGATTTATGTATGTACATTGCTGTATACGTGTAACTCAAATTTTAAAATGTGTCATATGTAAAAGTAGCAAAAAAATTATATGATACCCCAGAAATAAACTTGATTAAAGAACTGTGCAAGATCTTTCTAAAGAAAACTTGACAATATGACCAAAAATTTCATACAGAAAAGAAAAAAGTCAAGAAGAAAGTGAGAGTGGTGGAGGAAAGATTTGTACCACTAGATTCAAGATTTTATGACAGTGATTCAGGTAGTAAGGAATGTAGTACAGGAAGAGATAAGAAATTCAACAAAATCAAGAGCTCAGAAACAAAACCATACATCTAAAGAAACTTGACATACAACAGAGAGGACACTGCAAATCTGGGAATAAAGAACAGGCTAGTCAATAAATGATTTTGACACAGCTTATTACCCATATGGGAAAGACACTTAAAATTAAATTTCTTGGCCATGCTCAGTGGTTCAGCCTGTAATCCCAGCACTTTGGGAGGCCGAAACGAGAGGATTGCCTGAGCCTGTGGGTTCGAGACCCGCCTGGGCAACTTGGCAAGACCTCGTCTCTACAATAAATCAAAAACTAGCCGGGCATGGTAGCAGGCGCCTGTAGTTCCAGCTACTTGGAAGACTGAGGCGGAAGGATCGCTGGAGCCCAGTAGATCGAGGCTGTGGTGGCCAGGAGCGTGCCGCTGCACTCCAGTCTGGGCGACAGAGTGAGACTCCAACTCAAAAAAAAAAAAAAATTAAATTTCTTACTTCACACCATATTCAGAAATAAATTATCTTGGGAATAGGAAAAAACTTCTTACACAAGACACAAATGAAAAAGGACTGAAAAATATGACATTAAAACTTATATATTCAACAAAGACGACACCACAAAGTAAAAAGCAAAAAAAGATACTTGTAACAGATACAATCATCAAAGGATTAGTATACCTAATGAACCAAATAAATGAACCTAAAGAACCCAATAAATCTAAAAGAAAAAGTCAACAACCCACTCTGTAGCCTCGAACTCCTAGGCTTAAGTGATCCTTCAGCCTCAGCCTCCCAAGTAGCTGGGACTACAGCCAACATGCCACCACACCCAGCTAATTTTTTAAATCTTTATTTAATACAGATCGTCCTGCTATGCTGCCCAGAATGGTCTCAAACACCTGGGCTCAAGCAATCCTCCCAATTCAGCCTCTTGAGTAGTTGGGAATACAGGTTTGAGACATAGCACCTGGCTTAAGCAACCAACTTTTAAACAGGCAATCAACGAAGACACAACTGAATAGCCCATAAATTAGAGTCTATAATACTCAATGATTTATCACAGAAATAAAGATCTGAGTACTATATGTACTCACTCATAACAGGGCCCTGAATAATACTATAAGAAGGGGACTGGCAATAGTGGGACATTGCCAGTGGGAGAGGGGGACGGGACACATAACACCAATAAGGGTACCCATACGTTACTTGTACGATGACCACTTCTGTACCTAACCCTGAATTGTACCCCACATCTTTAAAATAAAAGATTAAAGAAGAAAAAATAGAAAGACACAGACCCTATCTTCATCAGGTCCAGCATGGATGACAAATAATAATCAAACTTATAATTAATTAATCACTGCTGTTCTAACTGCATCAAAGATAAAATAACACTACACACGAGTACCAGTAACAGGGGACCTGACCTAGTCTGAGAGGTCAAGGAAGGCTTCCCTGAGGAAGTGGCATTTAAGCTGAGACCTGCAGTACATCAAAGTCTCATTCTTGGATGACACAAGCCATTAAGATCATCCATCTAAATCCATGGCTTTAATACCCCCTTCAACTAACAAATTTCTGGTTTTAATTAAACTTCCAACAGGAAGGAATATAGTGATCTCTGCTACAAACATTCTGGTTTGCTTGGCACGTATACCTCTAATTCTAAAAGAAAGAAATTAGACATTTTCTGATATTAGGCACTGAAAACAAATGAGACACCATGGTGATGAGGAAAAGACCCTGGGTTCTAACACTGTCTCCACCACTGTAACCCTTTAAGTTAATCAACTGAACTAGCTGAGATACTATATCCTCACATGGGCAAGAGAGAAACTCAGTATATTTCTGAAGTCTTTGCCAGCTATGATATATCATTCAAGGGCTCAAGATAAGAAAGATACAAGGTGGGAGAGAAAGGCATATGTCTCTACCTTTGGCTTTCTTGGTAGCAAAATGGCGGATTGGTAGAGCTGAACAGGCCATGTACTGACTATAGTCATGTTGTCTTTCACTCACAATCTTCAGGTTAACTTCTGAAACAGGTCTGGTCAAGGCTGCAAGGTAATTGCGAAAAGCAGGGTGGACTATGCGGAGGCACTTTAATCCCAAGGCCATGACTGAAGACAATCCTTGGGAACATTCACTAAAAAGAGTAAGACCAAAAAAAAAGATCTAAGTAAAAGAGACCCTACTGCAACTTCAGATAACTCATACCAATTATCAAGCAACTCCCATAAACTGAGCTACATACTAGGCAACTTAAACACGTTACCTCTAATCCTCCTTCCAACAGCCCTAGAAGGAAATTATTATTAACCTCATTTTACAGGATGAAAAAATTGAAGCTCAGAGATTTAAGTAGCCTACCCACTTTGGACTCCAAACCCCAAGCTCTTTCCACTACACCAAAATGCCCATTAAGTAAATGTGCAGCAGACTAAACCTTTAATGATGCTAATTAAATACTTCTATGAGAAAAAGTGCAAAATCTTGATAAAGTTTAAAGAGGGAGAGCAGAGCACTAGAAGAGGACTTTAAAATAAATAAGAAAACCATTTCAACAGGCATAAAATGACTGAAAAATTCACACAACAGCATTTAATTAAAATTTTCTTTGGTTCCTTATGCACTGATTACCAATTAGAATGCACTATACCTTAATGTGAGTCTAAAGCATGATTGAGGCATGAGGTCTTCCATGGTATAGAACCAAAGCTCTGGAAAATGCCACCCCCCACTGTGTTAACACAAGTTACACAGTATACTTCTGAGGATTTTTAACCATGAAAAGATGCTATTGGATACAACTACCCCTGAGATAGAACACAGCCCCAGCTGACAAAGGTAGCATTAATACACTAATAGCTTCTGCCAGGAATCTGGCTATTACTCAGTTGAAAATTAAGAACAATTAATTTTCAAATACCTGGAAGCTTCCATCTTTGAAAAATCAGTCTCATGCCTCATTAAAAACAAAACAAAACAAATCCATCCTAAAATTCTGATGCAATACAATGGAGTAAATAAGAGCATGCATGGATTTTGTAGTCAGAAGACCTGGAATACAATTCCAGTTCCACCACTGATTAAATACTACTGAATATTCTGTGCTGTGGTTTCCTCACTGTAAAATGGGCATAATTGTGCTTCTTTCTTAGGGTGGGAAATAATAAATGAAGTTATGCCAGTAAAACACTTAGCACAGTGCCTAGAAGATAGCAGGAACACAAAGAAATGATACTTATTGATTGCTATCACCTTTCCTTTCAAAAACTTTCATGGCAGGGTCAGACACAATAAAGAAGTCTTTATGTCATTAATAATGGGCAAGATATTCTAGAGTCAGTCAGACTAGGTCGAAATTTCAACTCTAGCAACTTACTCTTTTCTGGGAATCACTTTCCTTATCAATGAAAAACATCACCCTGATTTTAAAATAAAATGAAATAATGAAAACATGTAAAATTGTACCTAGCACTAGCACAATGCCTGGAACATAGTAGTGACTTAATAAATGGTGGCTATTATTATCTTTAGTTTTTAAAAAAAGGCAAATGAGTAGCACAAAGGCAAATAACTTATTCTAATAAAATTTTTCATAGCAAGAAATGCTAGAAGTTAGTGATCAAGCGTATGAAGTCTGTAAAAACATCTCTGGATAAAAAATGAAGAAATACTCTTTCTTTTTCAGTTATTATTTCCAGTAGCAATTATTAATTGAGGTCAGGTCTGAGCTGTATGTGCAACCCATATTATTTCATTTAGTCCTATTATTACTTCACAAAGAAAGTATAACAATCCCCATTTTACAGATGTTGAAACTGAGGCTTGAAGAGATTCATTCACTGCCCAAGGACATGAAAGTAACAGCCCAGCCCTATTTCAGCAGAAACTGCTCACAAAAGTTTGGCTCAAAGTGAAGTTTCTATATCTAGGTTTTTTTCCCTAATACAATCAATGCCTAACTCATAGTTATAACCAAATATGGCTATAGAATAACGTGTACTTTTTTGAGTTTTTTTTAATCTACAGGGTCTCAATCTGGCTGCTCCATTTAAGACAGGTTTCCTGGTGTTCCTGTTGCAGGTCATAATACCAACCTACAAAAGAACAGGAAATCAAAATGGGTTAGAAATAAACAACCTTTGACAGAAAGCGTGGCACCCGAAAGCAGACCCAGTACACGTGAACCGGAAGACAACTCTATAAATAAAACGCATTGCTGAAATGCTTAAGGCGTAGATTTTAATTGCACAGAAGTCAGGAAATTTCAAAGTGGAAGTTCGACAAAGGCAGTCCCTTTATTGGTAGATTAAGGTAGATGCTTTAGGACATGCACATTAACATTCAGTTCCACACAGATAAATAATTAAAGCTGAGGAAAGAAATGTTATGAACCCAAGTATTAGCCAAAATTAACCTATACACAGAAGGAATGTGAAGATCCTAGGTTTTGCATGCAGTCTGGAACTGGAATCTCAGCTTCCCCTTTTAGTAGCTATGTGACTTTGGGTAGGTCATTTAGCTTCTCTAAGCTACAGTTTCTACATTGTTATCATGGTATATTGAGCCTTTCAAAAGATAATTATAACAACAATAATGGCAACAATAGCTAACATTTATATACTGATAACTATGTGACAAAAACTATTCTAAATGCTTTATTAATACATAACTCGTTTGAGCCTCATGATATCTCATTCAAGCCTCATGATAACCCTGTAAGTATTGATTACCCCCATTTTACAGATGAGAAAACAGAGGCACAGATAATTTGCTTAAGGTTTGAATTCAGAAAATTTAAGTTCAGCATAATGGGCACGGTTGTGGGTGCCTGTAGTCCCAGCAACTTGACATGCTGAGGCAGGAGCATTCCTTGAGCCCAAGATTTTGAGGGCAACCTGAGCAACACAGCCAGACCCTGTCACTTGGGGAAAAACAAATGCTCAATACAATGCTTAGCATCCAGTAGGTGAACAATGAATAGCAGTTATTATACGATCTCAACTGTTGAACTATTGAAATATTTTTAGGGACAGCATCTTACTCTGTCATCCAGGCTGGAGTGCAGTGGCACAATCCCAGCTCACCACAGCCTAGACCTCCTGGGCTCAGGTGATCCTTCCACCTCAGCCTCTGGAGTAGCTGGGACTACAGGCATGAACCACCATGTTAACTGACCAGCTAATTCATTTTTTTTTTTTTTTTTTTTGTAGAGACAAGGTCTCACTATGTTGCCAAGGTTGGTCTCAAACTCCCGGCTGGGTTCAAGCAATTCTCCTGCCTCAGCCTCCCAAAGTGCTAGGATTACAGGCATGAAAATATTTTTTAAAACTACTTGGAGCACACACTGGTTTTCCAAAGTTGAGAGTCTCAAAATTTGAATTTCCCAGTTCTTCATAGGTGGTGCATTTTAATTTTGGAAAGAACTAGATGATGAACTCAAAGTCCTGGTTTACCTGCTGTCCCAGTAACCCCTTCCAAACCAGCTGTAGACTATGTATACTTATAATATGTATATTTTAATAAATATGAGCATGTACATACGCAGACCCTTGCTGTATGTAAAATACTTTCACATGTATTATCAAATGTAACTATCATAATAGCCAAAGAGTGGTAATTACTACCCACATTTTACAAAATAAGCAAACTGGTGTTTCATTTCTCAAACGCTACTCCTGCTCCAGGGTCTTCAGTCATACCATTGAATCCGTTTGACAATCTCCCCTCGCCTCTTTCACTACCTCCCCATTTTTCTTCCACATTTCAGCTTAACCATCTTCCTCATAGGATGGCTTCCTTGGCCACCTCCTACAGCCCAACTAGGTCGTGTCCTGCAATCCATTTTCACAGCACCCTATACTTCACCATATCATTTGATTTTTTAGCAATATAAGCTAATCTTTGTGTGGTTATTTGATTACTGTCTAATTCCCTCTGTATAAGTGATACAAGGACTAATCTATGGTTGTTTGCTGCTGTATCACAGTGCCTAGCCCAGTGCACAGTGTACATTGTATAAATATGATGCATACATGAATACAAGTCCAGAAAGATTACACAGACTACATTGTATAATTATGATGCATACATGAATCACAGACTACATTGTATAAATATGATGCATACATGAATACAAGTCCAGAAAGATTAAGTCGGGGTCAAAATGCTGAACTCCTCCTACGGTAGGTTCTGGGTGACCCAACATGGCCTCCACTATCTCTTGGGTTTGCCAGATCTTTGCTTAGAGATAAGGCTTGTTCTTCTCCAAATTTGGTGTCATGTAAAGAAGGATACTTGTAGTATCTGAATATACACAGAAACGTCAGCTTAACAGATGGAGATAGGGCTTTTGCCTAAAACCTAAGAAATCTGGATTCCAGTATTCCTACCTCATCACTTCTTGTCATCTGTCCCCTTTAAATTCACAATCACCTGGGTTCAAAACTCATTTGTGGCAGCTCTTTCACCGACTTGCAACTGTATCAAATCATTTCTCCTACCTAGGTTTTGTTTCCTCAACTATATAACGAAAAGATCCGATCAGGTTTTCATCCTTTCCAACTATAAAGCTCTCCAAGACTCAGAAATGCGAGAGTGTGGTTAAAAGAAAAGGTATTAAACTTAGAAAAGATTCGGGAAAGAGTCCTGGTTCCAACACTTCACAGATATGTAACCTTAGATTAGTCAAACTCTCTGACCATCAATCTCATCTGTAAAATGTAAATGACAATACTATTTGTCAGAAGTTATGTAACTGGTGAAGGACTACTGAAATGACAACTATTTTACCATTGGTCGGCACAGAGTAGTGGTTAAAGGTTCAGGCTTTGGAGTTAGATAGACCTAGGTTTGAATTTACGCTCCGTGACCTTGGCAAAGTTACCTCCTTGAGCTTCCGGTTCTTCGTCGTGGAAGATAATACCTACTCCCACAGGATTGTTTTGAAAATTAAATGTTCCTGATAATTGTGCTACTAAATAGCGGCTACTATTTGGTAAGTCCTCCAACAAGCCCTCTACTCCTAAGCAGTCAACACCAGCCCCGCCCCCAGCCCATGAGGCTCGCACGGATACCACAGGTCCCGTCCCAGCCTTAAAGGTCAAGCCGGACTCGAACGGGTCGGGGACGACAGTCTGGACCCTGAGGTCCCCCAGGGGTCCTTGAGTAAGGGTCTCCGGCACCCGGACCGCGCGCGCGCCTCGAGGCCCTATCAAGGACACTCACCAGCTATCGCCCAGATTACTAGGGACTCGTGCGACGGCGGCAAACGCGGCGGCGCGGGCGCCCTGACGTCACGGGGCGGTGCGGCGGCGCAGGCGTGCCGCGTCACTGGCGGCCTGGCTGCGAGGGTTGAGACGGACGATTCCAGAGGTCCGTCGGGCTGCGGAGTCTGGACCTGCTATCTGGGCATGAGCTGAGGGCACAACGCCGAAGCCACGAGGTGAGTCGGTTGCGACGTGTCTCTGCACTTCGGCGCCGGCCCCGCCAGGAGGTGTTAGAGAAAGGCGCCCTCGCAGGACGGGTTCTCAGGCCCCGCCCCGGATTGTCCCGCTGCTGGCCCGGAAATAACAATCCGAGTTATGATTCCTCGCGTCTGGGAATTCGCGGCCAGGAATAGGGAAGCTGGGGTTCCAGACTTGACCTCGTCGTTAGCTTTTAAGATCAAGGGCCTTTGCTTCTCTGGACTTTCCAAATCACTGTTCCTGGCTTCCAGAGTTGTTGCAGCTCAGCTGGAAGAATAGATGTAAAAGCGGCTTGTGAACTCTGTTGATCTAAGGGAGTGTCGCTATCGCAGACCCAAAGCATTTTGACATTCCATGTTGTCTTGATCTTTCATTACACTTTACCATTCCTCAAAAAACCCTGTCCTGAGCTGTCACCATTATTACTTAAGACTCGCAACGAATTTATGAGATAGAGATAATTATACCCATTCTAGGACGGAAGAATAAACCAAGACTACAAACGGAGAAGTGGCTTGCTTCTTTTAGTAAATATTGAGCACCAACTATGAGCCAGGCAGTGTACTAAGCGCTGGTAATAGAACCGTGTTTCAGGATCGGCAAGGCCCTGTCCTATAAGAACTTACCTTGTAGAGAAAGAAACAGAAGGTAAAACCTTAAATAACACATTGAATTAGCATTATTTGAGGGGGAGAAAAGGCGGCTATGACCTGGAATAACAAGGGACTGACTCTGTTAGGGGAAAGCATTTTTGTGGAAAGGATACTTAAAGGGATATCATATGACTTGTAAGGCACAATAACTAGGTGCAAAAACTAGGATTTGAACCCAGACCCCCGTGACCTGCACTCTTCCCACTAAAACATGATACCTTTTTGTGATATTAGGTAGCTATTAGTGTTATTGCTGATTTTAGACATGAGAAAATCAGGATGTCCTGTCACTCAAGTCTCAACTCAAATGTCATCTCCTTTAGAGAAGGCTTCCTTCCACTTAGTCTAAAGTAGTTCAGCCCCCTGCCGCATCATCCTGCTTATTTGTGTTTGTAGCATTTATCACTATATCTTGTTTATTTATTTTACTTTTGTTTTGTCCTGCTCCCCTTCCAAATATAAGCATCCAGAGGACAGTGATCTTCCTTGTTCACTGCTCTGACCCTCAGCAACTAGAGAGACCTAGGAAGTAGAAACTCAGTAAATATTTTTTAAATGAATGATTCGTTTAAAAAGTAGAAGGGACTAGGTGCAGTGGCTCACGCCTATAATCCCAGCACTTTGGGAGGCCAAGGTGAGAGGATTGCCTGAGCCCACGAGTTCAAGACCAGCCTGGGCAACTTGGTGGGATCTTGTCTCTGCAATGAATCAAAAAATTAGCTGAACCTGGCGGCACATGCCTGTGGTTCCAGCTACTTGGAAGGCTGAGGCGGAAGGATCAACTGAGCCCAGCAGGTTGAGGCTGCAGTGGCCATGAGCGTGCCACTGCACTCCAGCCTGGGGGTGGGGGGGCAGTGATAGAGTGAGATTCCAACTCAAAAAAAAAAAAGTAGAAGGAGCTGAGCACAGTGACTCACACCTTTAATCCCAGCATTTTGGGAAGCAGAGGCAAGAGTATTACCTGAGCCCAGGGGTTGGAGATCAGCCTGGGCAACTTGGTGAGACCTCATCTCTTCAATTAAAAAAAAAAAAAAACATAGCCAGGCATGGTGGTGTGCACATGCAGTTCTAGCTATTTGGGAGGCTGAGGTAGAAGGATCAACTGAACCCAGCAGGTCGAGGCTGTGGTGGCCGTGAGCATGCCACTGCACTGTAGCCTGGGTGACAGAATGAGACTCCAACTCAAAAAATAAAATAAAATAAAAAGTAGAAGGAAAAAATAGGGTGTGGACAAAATCTTTCTCCCATTTCCACTCCTGGGAGTCTATTTATATCTGTTCCACCTTTCTCAGAAGGTAAGAGCCAGAGCAATGGCTTGTTCATTTCTCTATTTTCAGTACGTAGCCCAGGGTTTAACAGTTCCTAGTTGCTTCTCACACGTTGCTGAACAGATTAAAGAAGTGAGTGGAAAAGGAAGAAAAATGCACCCTTGTGCAGGGGGTAGATAAACATGTTCAGCAAACAGATACCTAAGGACTGTTTTGTGCTATACTTTATAGAGTATACTCAGATATCTGTTCCACCTTTCTCAGAAGGTAAGAGCCAGAGCAATGGCTTGTTCATTTCTCTATTTTCAGTACGTAGCCCAGGGTTTAACAGTTCCTAGTTGCTTGTCATACGTTGCTGAACAGATTAAAGAAGTGAGTGGAAAAGGAAGAAAAATACACACTTGTGCAGGGGGTAGATAAAGTGTGCTCAGATAAATAAGAGGTAATGGCAGTATCAATATATGGTCAGCTGTTTGTTATAGAGACAGTTCCTGCAGCATTGACCACTGAAGCATTTTTGGATATATAGGACATGTGTGTTCTCTAGCAGGGATGTCTGAAGGGTGATGCAGCCTACCACCTTACCATCCCTTTATATTTTCCTTCTCTACTACATTATACTCTTATTAAATCTTTATATCTGTCATTTCATTTTTGGACCTCTTAGAAACCTTAAGTTATAAGTAGGGCAAAGTTTATTATTTAAAGATGAGAAAACTGAAGCTCAAAGAGAAATGACTTCTAGTGGAAATGCCACAATGTGAAACCAAGTCTTGTGACATCAAGCTTTCTCCTCTTTCCACTGCTGTTCTATCATAATCTTCATTCTCCTTGGCTGTGAGATGAGACATTTCAGTAACTAGTAATAATTTAAGTTAATATTAATTGAATGCTTCCTAGGTGCCATGTACTCTTCTAAATGCTTTAGGCGTATTAACTCATTGAATCTGCACAATAATTTTATGAGGCATTATCCCCATTTTACATATGAGGAAACCAAGACAAAGAGTAGTTAAGAAACTTGCCCAAGGTTACACAACTAGGAAATGGTGAAGCTGGAATAACTAAAGAAGAAATTAGTCTCTTCTTTCCAGTCTCCCAAAATGTTAAACATGATGATAGCTAGTATTTATTGATAACTTACTGTTGTTAGATACAGTGTTTGTGACTTTTTTTTAATGTACTCTCTTTAATCCTCACAACAACCCTTTAAAATAAGTATTATTTCCATTTATATATATAAGGAAACTGAGGCTTAGAAAGTTCAGGTAAAATTCACCAAGCCACACAACCTGGTTTCAAACCCATTCTTATTCCAAAAAAATCTATGCACAGATTTCCTGTATTGCCTCTTCCCTTTGCTGTATTACCTCTTCTATCAGGAAAAGGGATATAATGCTGCTCTTCCCTATTCATCCTCTTCAGTGCTGTTAAGACTCTTCCTGGTGGTTTCCAAGACTTATTTTGGGTGACAGTTGTTGAACTGGAGTATCATGTAGTAAGAAAGACTTTGGCCTCCTGCCCAGTCAGTCTCTGGCTTCAGAGGAGAAAACTTTAGTTTCTCCATGCAGAACCACGCCCCTTTCACCTTAACTGGCAGCTTCTGTGCTCTGGCTGCCAGAGGAGTTGTCCCAAGGGAACTAACTAGTTCTGGGGCCCTGGTTGTGGAATAACTGAGGCCTTTGAAGGATTGCCCAGAGGGCATGCCCTCCTTGAATAAATGTTTGTTGAGTTGAATTTGAAGTCTCATGTTCACACATTGTTGCTCCTCTCCTGCCTGAATGTTCACATTTCCTTTAGTACTTCATAGAGATTGATGGAAGCAGAAACCAAAACTCTTCCCCTGGAGAACGCATCCATCCTTTCAGAGGGCTCTCTACAGGAAGGACACCGATTATGGATTGGCAATCTGGACCCCAAAATCACAGAGTAAGTCTAAGTTACCATAATTCATTGTCTACAAAACTGGGATATTTTGCAGTGATGATGTTCAGAAGAATTTTCAAGAGATGTTGGATATATTTTGAATCTTTTACTTATGCTTTAATTTCTCTTTACATGGATGTGATGTTGTTATTAGCCTTTGTCACTTTTCTTACATTTGAACTTTGCTACTGCAAGTATACACAGTTGGGTGTCCTTTAAACCATATACCTGTTTTTTCCTGCTTACCAAAGATGTTCTCCCATTTCCAACTATTTGAATCCTTATATCCAGTGGCTATAGGGAATTATTTTCTAGAATCAACCTTGAGCATACTTTTGTACCCAGAATGAAGGAACAAGTGGAAGAAGTCTCAGAACCTTAACAGACAGGCAGAGGAGTATCTTTTGACCACAGAACCATAGAAAGTCAGAGTTGTAAGGAATCTTTGAGATCACCCCTGCCCCCTTTGGTTTTCATTTGTTTATTAAATGATTTGAACGCCATAAGTTATCAGAAGCTATATATAAAATAGAAGCTCAGAGTTGCTCTGATTAAAGGGGAGAAGAGGTGCAGCCAAAGCCTTTTGTCAGCTGCCACCTTTTCATTGGCAATCCCTGTTGAAACTCTGGGACTTTTAAGGCTCAATGGAGCATACTTTGAGAACCTCTGATGGAATCCAGTTCTTTTATCCTATAACAGAGGAAACTGAGGTCCTAAAGATAGAAGTACCTTGCCCAGGGTCACAAAATTAATTGAATTGTCCAACTCCCTACTTTTTCCAATCATAGCAATTATAATGCAAAGGAATTTCTTAGCAGAGAAATTCCTTCCCCCAGTTGTTTGATGAGGGAAGATAGTGTTTGGTGGCAGGGTAGAATGAGTGGATTGAGCTGTGTATAATAAGGTCAGTGCTTAAAGTGAATATGGACTATATCATCAATCCTATAAGCTACTCTCTTTGGAATAGTGTCAAAGGCAAGGGGAGAGGAGATTAGAGAACCTGCTTTTTTGAGACTGGGATGAGAGAAGGTATATATAGGTGTCAGAATTAGAAGAGAGAAAAAAGGATGTAAACTTGTAGGTCAGGATAATGACAGAAAGCTTAGTTCCTTAAAGTTTCTCAAGCTCAAATCAGCTCAATGTAAATATATTTGGGTCCCTGTAGAAATTATGATGATATTGGAGATGGATGTCTTCCAAATATTATGTTACCATGGTCATAGGGATCCTGGAATAGACAGCATTTATTTCAGTTCTCTTTTGTGATTGATGGCTTTGAGGATGAGTGTAAATCTGCCCAATCTCTTGATTCATGTCTCTTTGTCAAAGAAGCTTTTTTCCATCATCTAAAACCCAAGCTATGAGAGGATGCTTCCAAAAGTGGTTTCCATTCCAACCTCTGCTTGTCTGAATGGAAATCTAAAGCATGGAAACAATGTTGATTGTGTTGGCCACAGTTCTCTGTAATGAGACTCTTGTTCTAATTGTGTTCTGCTGTGTGACAGGAAAGTTCACATGGGCATTTGTTACCTCAGTTTATATCGTATGTTGGAGAATATGAATGTTTTCTTCAATTAGAACATTAACAAGAATATTGGATCAAAACTTTCCCACTGAAATCTCTGTTCTTCTTTCGCCAGGCCAAAAGCAGACGTGAAATACTAAACTATAGATCAGGGCATGCTGACTGGAAGAACTGTACTCTCCCCCTGGCTTCCTTACTTCTATATCACCAAAGACCATTTTTACTATTTTTTCTATGAATTCTCTACCTGAAAACATTTCATCTATCAAACAAACTGATTTATTAAATAATAATAAATTTCTAAAGATATGACTACAATCATAGCTTATGGTTAACATAAACTGTTTAGTTTTTGCCTCATTTAATTTATTTAATTACAGCAAAGAAGCTTGACATTTTAATAAGAGGTAGAATATATTATTTCCTTCCAAGTTGTTGAAGTACATAAACTACACCCATCATGTTCCTCTCAGGGTAGTGGTGAGCCTGGATGAGTTATTAAAATACAGTCATTCCCAAATATTGAAGGATTATGATGTAAGTTATGTAAATATATGGTACCTATCTTGTAGTCTAATCTCAGAAGGTATTAACTGAATCCAAATCTCAAAACTCTAATGACTCTTGACAGAAGTTTGCGGAGCATCTTCCAATTTTCCTAATTAAACTTTCCCTCCACCCACAAATTACTGCCAGTTCCTACCATTTCTCCTCCAACAGACCCTTATCTCTTTTTCCTATGTGTATGTATGTCTCTACTCTCCACCACCCTCTTCCTGATCTTTTTCGTAAACCGATTTTTTTTTAAGAGACAGAGTCTTGCCCTATTGTACAGGCTGATCTCAAAATCCTGGCCTCAAACTGTAAGCTTATTTGAATGCCCCTCCTATCTAAGTGTTGTCTTAACTCTTGTTAGAAAACAAATTATAATATATATTTACTGTCATGAATGGTTACAAGGATATGTAAAACAGTGACAGTTTAAAAAAAAAACACTTTTCCACCCAGTTTTCAGTTTATTACTTCTAGTCATCCTTTTTATGTGTGTTTGTTGGTTATTAACCTGCGTCCTATTTAAGTTACACTCTCCTCCCAATAGAATATGCATTCCTAACTATCTAGTACTCTGATATTATGCTTCTTGTTTACTTATATTGACTCTGTGATTGTAATACTGACCGTTTAAGGCTGTGCTAGAAGCCAGAGATATTTGTGTATGATTAAAGAGATCTTAGAGATTACAAACCCATGTTCTTTCCACTATATTCTGATTACTCTTGGCTACATTTTACTTAATATTTCTTACCTATGAAATGAGTATGCTCACCTCAATAACCTGAACATTTCTTCTAGCACTAATGGTATATGAATATAAGCTCTTAACTTTGTGAGTTAAGTGAAACAGCTATTATTTTCCCTATTTTATAGGAAAAGAAGAGTTAAGTGAGCTGACTCAGTTTACTGAAGTAGTTAATGATAATTTCTCACTGCCTAATCTAGTGCTTGCACAAATATTCTAATGATTGAACAGTCATAAACCGGGCTCGGTGGCTCAGCCTGTAATCCCGCGCCTTTGGGAGGCTGAGGTGAATGAATTGCCTGAGCTCACGGGTTCAAGACCTGCCTGGGCAACTTGGCGAGACCTTGTCTCTACAATAAATCAAAAATTAGCCGGGCGTGGTAGCGCGCGCCTGTAGTTCCAGCTACTTGGAAGGCTGAGGCGGAAGGATCGCTGGAGCCCAGCAGGTCGAGACTGCAGTGGCCGGGAGCGGCCACTGCACTCCAGTCTGGGCAACAGAGTGAGACTCCAACTCAAAAAACAAAAGAAAACAAAACCTGCCATGATCTAAAGTATCCTATTCTAAATTTTAAAATATATAAGAACCTCTTTTTAATTGTTGTGAGGATAAACAGTCTAATTTTAAGGGTAAACAGCACTTCTAAATATTACTATTGCCTTCAACAAAGAAGCCAAAAAAGTTAATGACCTTAGACATTATCTGTTTTCTGCACTGCAGTTTCCTCTAAAAGGGTTAATAATGACTTTCTTTTTCAAATATTAAAAGTGCTGTATAGAAGCTAAATTAATAGCCACTGCATTGTGCATAAGTATGAGAGAGAACAAAACCAGTAGACATTCTAATAGAAGTAGTGCTCTAAATGGAGGGGAAGTTATAAGGGCATATAGGTATGAGTAAGAAAGATTGTCATGTGTAAGCAGACTATCAGAAAGACCTTTTTGACTTAAGAAGAGGTTGAATACTAAATGGAAATGAAAATTGTAGTTGAATAGGTAGAATACTCTCAGATTATGATGGGGTCTTTAAAATTTATTCAGACAAGTTTGCATTTCATATAAAAGAGATTCATTGTTGATGTTTATCAAGAGATTGACATTGTGAAAATGATTGTTACTGTTTTATTTTGTTTTTGAGACAGTCTTGCTCTGTCACCCAGGCTAGAATGTAGTAGCATGATCATAGCTTACTGCAGCCTCTACCTCCTGGACTCATCCTCCTGTCTCAGCCTCCAGAGTAGCTGGGACTACAAACTTTGTTTTTTTTTTTTTGTAGAGATGAGGTCTCACCATGTTGTCCAGGCTGGCCTCAAACTCCTGGGCTCAAGCAGTCCTCCCACCTTGGTCTCCTAAAGTGGTAGGATTATAGGTGTGAGCCATCGTGCCTGGCCTGATGTTTTAATAGGGGAATTTTACATCAGTATTCAGGATGAAGTAGAGGGGCAGAAACTAAAGATGAAGATTAGCTAGTAGAGACTGCTACAAATCAACCCTGCCATCGGTGTCACCTAGATAGAGACTACAAACATAGAAACCAGTGGGTGAGTCTGAGAGTTAAAGAATGAGAAGTGGAGAGTTGAAGATGATCCTGAGATTTCTTGCCTGAGGAATGTAAAATAATTAAATCCCTACTGACCAGTGGGATAGCTGGAAAGGACCATCAGTTTGTGGAAGAGAGGAGGTCAATTAGGGATGTGTTAAGGAAACTTAAAAGCAGTGGACAGCCATCCAGGTGGAAATGTGCTTCTGATACAGACTTTCAGGAATAAACTAGAATGCAAGGGAAAGTAAATGCATGTGAGAATAATACGTTTATCCCTGAAGAAACCCCTGTTTCTCTCTCAGCCCATTTCTTATTTTTCCTTCATTGTCCTTGCCTTCTTTAACATATTGGTTTGTATGAAACAGCCTTTACTGTTTGCTTACTTAAATTGAAGCTACAGTCCCAGATACTCAGGAGACTGAGGCAGAATGCTCACCTGAGACTCAGGTTGTGGTGAGCCATGGTTAAGCCTCTGCACTACAGTCTGGAGAACAGAGTGAAACCCTGACTCAAAAAAAAAAAAAAAAAAAAGAAAAGAAAAAAATGGAAATACAATGACACTATTTAATAATGTACCTAGTAGAACATAAAAACCCACCTCACAATAAAACAAACTTTGCTCAAGACAATCTTAAGTGTCATTTTATGTGATTCCCATTGTCTGTAGCATGAAGATAAAAATTTGTAACACACAACATCCCTCACAGGCTGTCTTCTGCTTGCCTTTCAGCCCCCTCTTACCCCACTCTCTTCCAATGGATCAGACTGTTTTCCACTTTGATGTCTTTGCACATGATATTCACTCACACTGCCATGCTCCACTCGGATATCGCTCCTTTTATGAAGCTTTCTTTAACCACCATCCTCACTGCACCATTGGTTCTCCTTGTGTGTATTCATGTATATACCTCCATGTGCAAGTCATTCACTGTTTTGTAATTGTTTGATTACATGTCTCTCTCCTCTAACCAGAATGAGATCCTTGAAGGCAGGAACCTAGTTTTATCATTTGGATAGTCCAAGTGCCTAATTGGTCTCAACATATTGTAGATGTCTATTTTAATATTTGTATAGATTAATTACTTCTGTGCCATTAGGCAGGAAGGTTGTTTTAAAGACCAATTTACAGAAACTACTGATTAAGTTGCAGAAATACGTATGTCTGCTGTGCTAAATCTCTAGCTCCTGAAGACTGCAGGGTACACATTTCATTGAGTGAAGAGAGCCTCTGCTGAGTAGTGAGCTCTCCCACACTTCAGCAGCAGATAAAAGTGCTTGCAGATGTGAAAGCAAGATCCTTCGACTTTTTTTACTATCAGAGCTTGCAGTCCCCATCTCCAGGAAGCAAAATAGTAAACATTTCATTCCTTTTGTTTCGGTGTTCCGATAATTTCAAGAAATTATCAAACAAGAAAAGAAATCTTGGAGAAGCTGAAAGACACAGACCTAAGCAGATGTTCCTGGAATCTTAAGGTCGCGATTCTCGGGCAGAATGTGTTTGTTAGCTTTACAAAGAATAATCTGTCAGCTTTTTTTTCCTGAGTAAATTAAAATTCTTTTCTTAGGAAATGCCAATTGCGTTACCTTCCTGCTATTAAGCAGAATGGAGCTAATGAAAAGATGACTGGCCCACAGTAGCCCTTAAATTGTTTCTTTCTTTAAGATCTGGTTTGACCCACCATTCTGTGGCTACTGGCATGGTTTTGAGTTTTGAGTGGGTATAGTAAGTAGAAGATGCATCCGTGAATTAAAGACCCTAAGGGAGACGTATAGCCCATCTGTCTGTGTATGTGAGAAACTCACCCTTGCTATAAGCCTATTCAGAAAATCAAGTAAACCAGAAATTTGCACTTGAGGTGTTTCTCCTTCTTGTGAAGAGTCACTTCTTACATTTTCACTAGTAGTTGAGATTTTCTGTTGGGAGTTGGGAATTTAGAAATTAGGAGATCATGGTTATTTTCCCTTTCAAAATAGACCATAGTAATATCCACAATATGCCTTGTGATCTTTTCATTCTGCTTCAATACTCAACCTGCATTATGTCTTCCTTGTTCCACTGTGTCAGACATCTGATCCAAGATAATGGACTTGCTTGTTGATGTGTATTGTGTATTAGTATCAAATTTAGTATATCTGATGATCCATTTCATATCTTTCAGCCTCCCAAAGGAGATTCTTACTCAAGAATAAAATCTTGATGAGTTTCTCCTAGAAAACAATGTGAATATAAATGTGGCTATAACGACAACTTTACTGACTCCCTGTGGGGTAGAATTCCCAGTAATAACAGATTTAGCATGTGAGCTGATACCTTTTTAGTATCACAGGGACAGCATTGTTTAGCGAAAGCCTTGACTCCACTTGAATAGTGTGGAGGATGCCAGGAGGAAGGCCAGAGGAAAAGGAAATGGGAGAGCTGTTGGTTTGTCTCACCCTTACATCAGATGACAGGAAGTCAGAAATGAAATTGGCCACTACAACCTGTTAAAGCCACATCTGTTTGAATAACATAAAAGCTCTATAGAAACCAAATAAGTTTTAGAGTAAGGAATCCATAAAGAGGTTGAGGGAAAGAGTGGCAAGCAGTGGCTTAGGGTGAACATCCTGCCAGGAATAAATATCTTCCTTGACCATCTATATTTTTTACTTGACCATACCTCAGGGTACAAACTGTGTTTAGGCAACTGAGGTTGGTTAATTACTCATGGCTGGATGCTTTTTTTTTAAGATGTGGGGTACAGTTCAGAATTAGGTACATAAGTGATCATCGTACAGGTAAAGTTTGGGCCTCCCTTTGGGGCTGGATGATTTCTAGAACTGACCAAGTTCTCCTGCCCTGTGTGAGACTGGCCTCAGTTGCATAGTGGTTCCATGTTGTCCTGATGTTTAATCACATCAAGGATTAAAATTCTCAAGCACTTACGGAAGTACCACTAACTGTAGCTTGATTTTTGGCAGAGTTTCTCACAAGTGCAATTTGGATCTAATAATTAACTATGAAATCTAATAGGGAAGTCTTCCAGGACTGTTTTTTTGTTTGTTTGTATGAATGTGCATGTGTTTGTTACTTTGTTTATTTTTGAGATAGGGTAGGCTTTGCCTGTTGAAGTGTAGGTGTGTGTTTCTGATAGAGTTATAGTTATTCACAAGTGCTATTTCGTTGCCAAGAAAGTAAAAATAAATAAATCAACACTATTTTTGAGCATTTTTCCCAAAGAAAAAACAAATGGTGCTTGTGAGCCAGACAGCTGTTTGTAAGGTGTGGGATTTTTTTTTGTTGTTTGGTATTTTTGTGTTGGACAGATGCATAGCCATGACAATTCTAGTTCCCATTCCAAATAAAGGCAAACAACTCTGCCAAATAAACTAACAGCAGTTTGGAGGAAGGCAGGGGACGGGGACAAGAGATTTTTATCTTGGGGCAAATTATCCCCTGCTTTTATCTCACGCTTCAGACTGAGTGGCCAACAGAATTCCCAGAGCATACTCATGGGCCCTTCTTTCTCCACAGATACCACCTCCTCAAGCTTCTCCAGAAGTTTGGCAAGGTAAAGCAGTTTGACTTCCTCTTCCACAAGTCAGGTGCTTTGGAGGGACAGCCTCGAGGGTACTGTTTCGTTAACTTTGAAACTAAGCAGGTAATTGAGCTTCCTCTCCCTTTCACAGTACTTATCAAGCTCTGCCGTGATTATTTGTGCATCTCTCTTGACTACAAGAATAGCAGTTCCCTATGGGCAGTGTCTGGTTCATCTGTGAGCCTAAAAGAGATCCTTAGTAAATAAATGAATTTGTGAACAGTTTTCACAATCTACCCTCCCTTGGCCAAGGTTTAGGTTGACTTCCTTTTCTGACCAAATACTTCAGGATGCCCACATTGAGCACATGGACATTGCCCTCCCTATCCTGTTTTGTTTGTTCCTTTAGTGGCTAGCCAACAAAGTCTTCTATTCTTTCAGTAGTTTGTCCTGTGGTACAGAATCCTATCTGTGGTGCCACCCACACACTCTCTTTTATTTTGATTTCTTAAAATGTACACTTTTTCTCAATGTCTCAGAACAAATGCATATACATTTTAACATACATGGAGGAAGAGAGCACTCAGCTTCAACCATGATATATACATGTATCTCCCTGTATTAAAATTTAGTCCTTGTAATGGAATTGCGTTGATAAAGAAACTGAATTTGTACTAAATATAAAGATGCTGCTTAGTATTGTCTATAACTTTGTCATATGTAAGAACATTGCCTAGTTATTGTTTTATTAATAATATATGGATGTTTTTCTTACTATAAAAGTATACGTGCTTATTATAGGTGAAAATATAGATAACCAAAAAAGAAAATGTAAATCACTTAGCCCCAATACCCAGAAATAATCACTTAATATTTAGTCATATATCTTTCTGGTCTTTTTTCTTTCTTCACGTTCTCTCTTTATCTGTCTTGTCTCTCTCTCTCTCTCTCTCTCTCTCTCTCTCTCTCTCTCTCTCTCTCTCTCTCACTCTCACTCTCTCACTCTCTCTCTCACTCACACACATATACACACACAAACACATATACAATGTATAACACACAAGTAGGATCATATTATCATGTTTAGCATTCAAAGTATATTAAACTATTTTTTACCATTTAATCCCATCTAGATAATATTTGTATTGTAATATTATAGTTTCACTGATATTTGTATATTCATATGTTTGTATGTACATTTATCTATATCTGAGATTTGTGTAGCTTACTATATGTGACTTAGACTGCAATTAAAACTAATCAAAATCACTTTTGATGAGTACATGATACTTCATTATATGAACATATAATAAGACACTTGACTATCCCCAGTTGTTAGTTATTTGGGTTGTCCCCAGTGATTCACTAGTGTAAATATCACAGTAGTAAATATTTTTATAGCTCTAACTGTGTGAAACTTGAATAGCATCATCAAAGGCCATGTCTGTTTTTTTCTTAATACAACTTAATACAAATCGCCTCCAAGAAATGTTATAGCAGTATGTTCTGAGTCTGCATGAGAGTGTCATTTTTCCTTACCAGTGCTGGATATTTTTTGCTTTCCCTAGTTTCTGCAAATATGGTAGACAATAAGTATATATTGTTATTCTAATTGTTCAAGGTTTTTTGAGAAAAGTGAAAGAATGTCCTGTAGGATTCGCATTCTTAATACTTTTTTTCTTCTTGAATGGTAGAATGTAATGAGAATTGTTGCAGACAACTAAAATCAATGATCATGTTGGGGATAGATGTTGATTTAAGAACATTAGACTAGCTAAGTCAAGAGGATGGCCTGAGCCAAGGGGTTTGAGATCAGCCTGGACAACTTGGCGAGATCTCATCTCTACAATAAATAACAAAATTAGCTGGGTATGGTAGCAAGACCTGTAGTTGCACTGCTTGGAAGGATGAGGTGGAAGGATTGCCTGAGCTCAGCAGGTTGAGTTTGTGGTGTCTGTGAGCATGCCACTGCACTCCAGCCTGGGGAACAGAGTGAGACTCAAATTGGGGAAAAAAAACAAACAAACAAACAGTGGACTAGAAGTCACAAAGCCTAGCTTGTATTTCTTGCTCTTTTTTGTGTTAACTTGATTAACTCTTTAGGCCTTGATTTTCACTTAAAAACACCCTCCTTATAGGAGTTGGGAGACTAGACGAGGGCATATAAGGAAACAGAATTGACATTTAATAGTATCCTTAAATAACAAGAAACTGAAACAATGTACAGAGGAAATTATTTTTTAAAACACTTATCTCCTACAGCATCTTATTACTGCTGATACTCCAGAACTAATAGAGTGCCATATTGGTTCTAATTCACCAAATGAAATGGAAAAGAAGAGTAAAACTTCTCTTACATATCACTCTAACTTTGCATGAGGCAGTGGGGTGAGGATGGCCAGTGAATATTCAATGTCTGACACATAGTGGATGCTCAATAAATATTAGTTAAATGTAATACTCTAGTAAGCTTTGGAGGAAAAAGAGAATCATCAATAAAACCAGAATGGAATGCCTGGTTATTACACTCTAGTCTGTATAGACTCTCTCTGCCTTGTAGGACATCCTATTCCTCCTCTGTTCCTTAAGGGTTTCTTCGCCCTCTTAAAATGTGGATTACACTTGGCTGAATGCCTCATGGATACAGATGGGGTATCGGAGCCTTGGCAGGATGGGAAAGTACAACCATGTTTCCTGGGAATGACCTAGAGTAACTATTATCTAACTTCAGGAATTCCTTTCAACCTTGTTGCTCCTATATCTGATGGGGAAAGGGTCAGGAAACTTTTGGCTCTGAAAACCAGGTGCATAGATTGACTCACACAAATACCTTGCTAATAGTCTATTTGACTCACTCCTGCTTTTTCCGGCCTAGTTTCCTTCACCCCCATATCCTTTGAAGCCATTACTGTTTCTTGCTTTGAATCCAGGGAATAAACCCTAGTCCAGGTTATAGTTCTAGGGTCCCTGGAGGGAGTAAAATCTCTTGGCACAGTAGTTGTTACTCTAATTAACAGTAATGTGTAGAAAGGTATCACCTAATAAGAACATGACTGTTAGCTAATATTTGTTAAGTGCTTACCATCGCTCCATGCTTTACGGGCTCTTTAAGTTCTCACAACAGCCTCTGAGGAACAAGTTGTTTTATCCATATTTTACAGGTGACAAAACTAGAGACATTAAGTGACCTGCCAGATATCATATTGCTAGCAAGTGATAGAGCCAGGATTTGAATTTTTGTCTGACTTTTAAAAACTCATACCTTTTTGTTGTTCTGCCTTTTTAAATTGTATGCCCTTGCCAATTATTTACCAAGGGCAATTTGATTAGAAACTCCGCCATCAAAGCTAGTGAGGCCCTGTGAGAATACATTGAGCTAGTTAAGCATCTGGCTTTTTGACTAACATTCATCCCTTTCCTGGACAGGAAGCAGAACAAGCCATCCAGTGTCTCAATGGCAAGCTGGCTCTATCTAAGAAGCTGGTGGTACGATGGGCACATGCTCAAGTAAAGGTACGTCTAAGAGGTCGGAAAGACAACATCAAGCTGCATCCTAAGTGAGTCTTTAGAAAGATATCTGTCCACTTACCCATTTGCATCCCAGCCTCTTCACATCTGGAACAGCCAAACTTTGGTCTTCTATTTGTATTTACCATGTGTGTTGCCAGATTTTTCTTTTAAGAAACATCTCAGGAGGGATTAAGTTCCTTCATTATTTCTCTCCGCATGCCCACAGATCCTGTTTTTGATTGATTTTTCCATGTGGCTAATGTGTATACTCAGACCTCTATCATTTTTTTGGTGAGGGTTGTTCTTTGGAGGAAAAAATGTATTTATTTTTAAAATTAGTTGCTTTAGGCATTATTAGATTCTTCCCAGTCTCTTGACTTTGTGGAGAGTTTGAATTTGTTTATTCTAATTACTTGAAAGATGGGTAGTTTGTGTGAGTGCTTAAAGCTCTGGCATCTCCCTACTCCAGAGATCTTGAGAGTTATTAGGGTGTGGGTTTGTGGGACTTTGCAGTGCCTGTGTTGTTTCCAAGCCCAGTGGCAGGCTGCCCTGTTCATCCTGTAGTTGGTCTCTTGGGAGAATGCACTAGAAAAACTTCAACCATTAACAAAAGAAAATGAATGGTATTCTGTTCCAGCCGGCACAGAAGTGGTGAAATTATGTTGACTGTGGCAGTTTCAAGATTTGATTCTTCTTCTTCTACAGAAGTGAGAACTTGAAAAACCTGCCTGCAAAAAGATTTGTGATGGAGATGGAGTTTAAATCTTTAGCTCTGTAAGCATAGTTTTTTATCAGGGACACTATCCCTCCCCAGCAAGCTTCCCAGTAAAGAGCCATGGAAACTAAACAGACATTTAACCTCAGTGTTCATGGTGAAAAATGAAGTTTAGGCACTTTGGATCCTCCTAAGTATTTCAGGTAATCACAGCGCCTTCTCAATTTCTAGGACACATTGCCTTAAAAATAGAAACAAGGAGAATTACCAAATGCTTTTTTACTCAAAAGGAAATCAAGTCTCATTTGCCAAACTGACTGTCGTTTTCTCGTTCTGCATCTCATTGAAAAGGCACCCAAGAGAAATCATCCTCATTCCTGTCTTTTATTTGAAAATCTCTGTGCCTCATGGTTCTCTTCTCCAATAAATTTTTCGTGACCAAAGGCTCTTGATTACTACTTAATATCAGGCTTACTTTTTACAAGAAGTATGTAATTATCTGACATCAAATTAAATGACTCCTTTACTATAGAATGTTTTCTATATCAGTGACTGAAAGATGTTACTGCTTTCATTCTCCACTCAGACCTATTAGGAGCAGAATATTTATTATGCTTGGTGTTTTGCAAAACACAAGGTGTTCTGAATAAAACAAAATAAATATTGTAAGAGGTAATACAGTTCTTAAAATAAGAATGTAAAGGTCAACCCTACTGTGTAATTGTACCATGGGGGAATTTGAAAGTTGAAATTTTTTTCTTACCAAGTAAGGAGGAACAGATGACTAGATGGAAAGTTCTCCTCAACTGCTTTTTCTAAATGTACAGCATTTAGGCCAAAACTGTGTGAAGTTTTGCATTAAATCTAAATGTAAAGCAGTCTAAAATTGTCTAGAAATATATTGGCAGGCAGGCCGTGGTGGCTCAAGCCTGTAATCCCAGCACTTTAGGAGACCGAGGTGAGAGAATTGCCTGAGCTGGCAGATTCAAGACCATCCTGGGCAACTTGGGAGACCTTGTCTCTACAATAAATTAAAAAAAAAAAAAAATTAGCTGGGTGTGGTAGCACACACCTGTAGTTCTGGCTACTTGGAAGGCTGAGGGAGAAGGATCGCCAGAGCCCAGCAGGTATGTCACTGAGGTAGCTGTGAACATGCCACTGCACTCCAGCCTGGGTGACGGAATGAGACTCCAACTCAAAAAATATATATATGTTGATGTTAACACTGGTGGTATTAGAGTTTTTGAACCAACGTGCTATGATAAAAGACTGGCTTCTGCCCAAGTGAAGTAATTTCCCTTTTTCTTACTTTCAGAGATATGATCATAACAAGAATGATAAGATCCTTCCAATCAGTCTTGAGCCATCCTCAAGTACTGAGCCTACTCAGTCTAACCTAAGGTAAGGTGGTATGCTGCACAAAGACACAGTTATTCAAGAGCATGAACCATCTCTTCACCCGATGCTTTCATTCATACCATAATGAATCTTCAGACTCTTAGAATCTACTAACTTGACATATTGAGAAATAGGTGCAGTTAATTTCAGAATGTATATATCTCCTCTTCTTCCATCCCCCAAGGTCATATACTCCTCCCTGTTTATAGAATTTATTCACTCAAAAAAGGCTGAATGCAGCTACAACATATCAAACTTTGTGCTTAGCACTAAGATACAAAAATAAGTCAGATACTCCTTACCCCAAAAGCAAGCATTTTAATAAGGGTCTCTTTGGCATTGTCATTACATAATCATTTCTTCTAAACCATCAGTTCACTTAATATAAAATTTTAGTTTGCAAATGTTTAATTCTATGTACCATGGCAGTAACTGGTTTTGATTCTAGCTTGTGTGAATTGTCAGTTACTTCTTTGGAGTTAATTCAGAACAGGAGAACTAGGGTTGAGTAGAAAAAGGGGAAGTTAAGTGGATAGTTGAACAGAAATAGGTGGGGTTTTTTGTTGTTGTTGTTGTTTATTTTTTGCATTGTAGCCTAGGGAGAACTTTTAACAATAACAATAACAATAGCAAGGATTTATTGAGCTTACTATGAAACAGACACTGTGTGAAACATTTTACATGCAATATGTCATTTATAAAAATTCTGGTAAAAGTACTGTTATACTTATTTTATGTATAAAGAAAACTGAAGCTTATAGAGAGATGAAATATTAGCTGAGATCACACAGTTGGCAAATAGCAGAGTCAGGATTCAAAGCCAGTTCTATTAGACTTCAAAATGTAGTCTTTTAGTTACTTATTTAATGAAGCTGCAGGCTGAAAATGCAGAAATACAGTTCTAAAGCCTTTTCTAGGGGAAGGGAAGAAGATATGTGAGGGAGCATTTGCAATACATAAGAATCAGAAATTACCAATTATAAAATCAGGAAAGTAATGCCTATTTGCAGGGAGGACCAGGCAGGGGAAAAAATATCTTTCTTATATATTATTTGTACTAAACAAAACAGATTTACAAACATTTCATTAAACTGCAAGGGAAGGTGGTCCTGAAATGTTTTCAGGAGTGTAAATTGATAAGTTGAAACTAATTTTATAGTTACTACTTTAAGTTCAATATCATGATATTTCATAATTTTGTTCTGTCTTCATTGTTTTGTGCTCCTGGGAATTAAAAAAAATTATGACTTCTGTAGATTCACTAAGAGCTTATATTCACTGTGCTGTTTCCCCCATAATATTAGAACCTCCTTTTTCAAAGCTTGTTCTCTGTGGAGGTTTTCATAAATCTGACTCCTATTGGGAAGGGACACATTTATGCTTGATGGTCTTCATGTTACAAGGAACATGTCTTTAGTTTATTATAATTAATGTTTGTTGCTTGTTTACAAGGTAGCCTAGTGTTTTCCATCTATTTTTTAATCCAGAGAACCTCAGCTTATATCTTCCTTTTTTTATTATTTACATCTTTCTATTAATGTCTGTGCCTAATTAGAGAAAGTTGTTTCCCTGTAACTCATGTGGAAAGTGACTGGCAGTGCCATTAAGGGAAGAGGGACCAGAATGCATCTTGATTGTACCGTGTTCTTTTTATTGCAACTTCATTTTTAAATTTCTTGCTCATGTAAATTTATGGGTGTGCTGCAGATTCTTTTGAAGATTCCTGAAAGGCCCTATATACACTTCTTCCTAGTTTCTCTCACTGTCTACAACATCAGGTAGCATCAAGAATGGAAAATAAAGGCAACCATAGGCCAAAAACCCAATGCCTGAGTGCTTTGCATTCTGGTCCAGGCATAGCATTGACCTCAATCAAAACCAAATTCCTCACAACTTCTCTAGCATCTCATCCCTTTCTGTATAATATGGGACTGTTTACCTCCTAACTTGATGGCAAGGAAAAAGCAAGGGCTTTGGTGATAAACTGGGTTGAATCCTAGCTCTGCACTTTTGTTAGTTTTGTGAACCATGGGAATATCACTATCTCAACATTTGTTTCTTTATCTATAAAAAGTGGATGGTAACCCTTGTAGAAATAATATAAGTAAAATGCTGGGCACTGTGTCTGACTCATTGTAGTCACTCTGTAAATAAAAGCCTTTATTAGCACACATTTGTCAGTAAAAAGAGACTATGGGATTTCCAGAATGGTTTTTTTCTCACTGTTATTCAGCAATTCAGGAGGTGGTACTTTGGGGTCAATTTGTATTCAAATCTCAGCTCTCTCACTTACTAGCTGTGTAACATTGGCTTTTTGTGCCTCGATTTCTTCATCTGCATAAGGAATACAACCTACCTTATGTCATTTTCAACCCTATAAATAAAAGAATTATTTTTAGTGCCTACTCTGCTGAGCACTAAGGTGGTAAACAGTGTTTGTATCTGAGGAGCAAATGTAAAGATATGTGAAGTACTCCTAATGATAATCTGTATTTATATTAAAAACTTAATAGATGGTTCAGACTTAATCTCTTTCTTAAAATGAGAGCACTGGTTATTTTTGTCTTGTATGTAAAATGTTTAAATGTTCATAATGTAATATATCATTGCTTCTCTGATGTGTATGAGAGGCATAAGGAGATGAGATATAGATGTATTTTCTAAATGCACCTAGGCCCACTCTGATCCTCTGCTGTCCTTGATTTCAGTGTCACTGCAAAGATCAAAGCCATTGAAGCAAAGCTGAAAATGATGGCAGAAAATCCTGATGCAGAGTATCCAGCAGCGCCTGTTTATTCCTACTTTAAGCCACCAGATAAAAAAAGGACTACTCCATATTCTAGAACAGCTTGGAAATCTCGAAGATGATGGTTGTGAATTTAGCAGCAAAAGCAAACTGATCTCCACACCTAAAATCCTCTGCCTTTGTACTTTGTAGATGTGAATGGTACTATTCAACAGAGCACAATCACATGTTAAAATTTGGTAACATAATGTTTTTGGATGTTCTTCCCTAAACTATGTGTGGAATTGAGTATCATCCAGAATAAATAGGATTGTATCCCAAATTGTGATTTGAACCCTGGGGTGCTCTAATTGGCTGATTTGTTTGTATTTGTAACTCCAGAAACATTCTACAGTGTGCCAGAGAGAAAGGCAAATATACAAAATATTATTATTTAAATCAGGAAACTAAATGTATTAACATCTGTAAAAAAATTAATGAGCATTTTTCTGTGCTCATGTCTTTACAACATGAGAAGTAAAAAGCGGGGAAAGAAGTGACAGACAGACTTAAATCATGTTCAGAACTATTGTTCCAGAATTTACTGGGAAACACCTCCAACTGTACTCAGAAAGAGAAAGTTCTTGGCAAAAGGCAGCTGATTCTATGAACAAATGTTGTAGTAATCTGTTTAAGAATTATGCTTATTGTTTCAGAATCCCAATCAGGAAAATGTGTATATCTTAAAAGCATTTGCATCAACAAAACTGTAGAATCAAATTTAGCATTTGTACCACAGCAGAAGTTCTGTTTGGAAATCCAACTTTTATTCTATAGTGATCATTTTTTTTAAATCTAAGTAATCCTGCTTTCACTAATACCAAATGTTGTTATTAACATGGGACTTTTTAAATTATTCTTATTGCATGAGATTTTTTTTTAGCATGAGATACTCTATTTGGAATTATATGATGGTCAATCTAAATAGAAAAAGCAAAATTTATTTGAAATCCTAAACATTGCTATATTGATCACTAGCAAACATCATTTTCTAATAATTGTGTAGGGATCTAAGTAGAAGAGGTTGTGTTATCTTGTGCAGGATAAGGAGGTGGCATGTAGTGGGCACAGAAAGTCAATAGAGCAGATACTACTCTAGCACCAAGACTGTAATGGCCTTATGTTGTAGGTAGTTTTGAAAGACTGCATGACTTGAAAATGTTTCTTTACTCTTAGAACATATTTCTCCCTAGATATTTTTGTCACTTTGTACATTCTAAATATAACAATATGGAGAGATAAATCAACAGATTTCAGCACAGTTTTGGTCATTTTGGTGCCGGGTTTGACAGACTGTTTCGTTGGACAGCACTATTGCTCCTTTACCTGTAAATCACTTTGTTGTTCGAGGTCCTGTTCTTGGTGATTACAGACTGTTTACCACTATCGTTCCTAGCAAGAGGAAACTTTTGTTCTAGGAACTTAAGTGTTCCCATGAGTATAAATGAATTTAAGACACTTGAACGAAAACCTCAGCATAGTGAGGTTTCAGAATTCACAGAGCTAGTTCAAAGATATTCTTATGACTTTTCCCAAGATTGATCTTTTTTAGATATCTTTAGATATAAGATACTTTCTGCATTTATTAGCTGTGTCTATCTGATGCAAGCAACTCCCATTTGGGGAATAATTCAGATAGGTGGGAGCATTGTCTCCCATTTCTCTGGTGACTTCTTTTGGCTTATAAGTCCTACAAGGGTAACAATGGAGTAGAAGACCTGGCTTAACACAAAGTAGTCTTCTATTTTTAATAGAAACTTAGAAAATACTTACCATGAAATTATATAGAGTTGTTTCCTTTAGAAACCAGAGCTATTTATTTGTATTTAAAGCAATGTTTATTCTTTGTACCGATTCTTATCCCTCCGTGTTAATAAATCCAAGATAGTGTCTGTGTGGTTCTATCTTCTCTCATTCATTTACTGGAATAGACTCAGCTCTCTGGTTGACTTGTTTCCACTCAGGACTCTGGACCGTGTGTCCAGGTGGAGTGCTGCTTCTAAGTGCCTTATCTGCAGAGGCCTCCAGCTACAGAGTCAGCCTCAGAGGTACTTCTCTTCACCTTTTATGCCTGCTGACCTCTCTTCTTAGAGATAAGAATATAGAGCAGCTGTGACATTGCCAGTGTCACTATTAGAAAGAGGTCGTTAAGGAAGTCTACAAGTATCATAACTGATTTAGTTTCTTTCAAAGTAGAGGTTTCATAAGAATAGATGTGTGTATCATAAATGTGCTTAAAGCAGTAATGAAAAGTGTTTAAAACGCAAGTGTTAACTTGGTCAACTCTTTATTAGGAAGCTACCTCTACTTTAAGTAAAATTATTCTTTGGTTTACTGGTTAATTATTTTGGTTTGCTAACATTATGTCACTTGTGAAGAACAAAATATTCAGGAAAGAGATAATTACTATCTTTTTAATCTCAGCTCCTATTTTATCAAATGCAAAATGTATCCCTAACCAGTTGATTTGCTAAATTGGATCTCAGCATTGAGGAAGAGTATCACATGAGGGAAAATTTTTCAAAGCATACCAAAATCAATAGTTTTATGAAAAGCAGTTTTATGAAACCAAGTATTCTATAACCCTGTCCTTTGTTTGTGAAGGTATGTAGTTTTCTGAATCTGCAAATATATCTGGTTTTTATACTATATAAAAGGAGTAATTCATGCATCACAAATATTAAACACTTCCTGTATGTAATCACTTTTGTTCCTAAAATATTATTTGAGCCCAACATACTTAGCCTTGATTTCTTTTTTTCTTTCCTGCTCCTGCCTAGTCCTTCAACAAATTCTGTTAACTCTGCCTGCAAAATACATCTTGAATTCAAACATTTCTCACCACCTCCAACACTACCACCATTTTTGTTCAAGCCACCATCATCTCCTACCTGGATTATTGCAATACCCTCCTAATCTACTCTCCACTAATCTGTCCTTGTGGTCCATTTTCCACACAGTAGCCAAAAAGATCCTTTTAGAATTATTTTGAAATGTCATTCTCATCTTGATCATTTTCTATCACATCTGGAGTAAGATTCAAAGTCCTGTAAGACCCTAAATGACCTGTCCCCGTACACCTGTCTAATACTACTGTTACCTTGCTCCCTGTGCCCCAGCCACACCAGTTCCTTGTTATTCCTTGACTACAAGGGAGCTCCCACCTCAAGGCCTTTACATTGACTGTTGTCTTGGCCTGGAATGTTCTATCCCCAGATAGCCACAGAGTCCACTCCCTCACTGGATTCATGTCTCTGTTCAAATATCAGTAATCAGGAGACAATCCCTGGTATCTTATTGATTGGTTGGAGTCAGGGTCTCACTCTGTTACCCACGCTGGAGCGCAGTGGCACAATCATAGCTCACCACAGCTTTGACCTCTTGGGCTCAGGCAATGCTGCCTCAGCCTCCTGAATAGCTGGGACTACAGGCACAAGCCCCTGTTCCCAGCTAATTTTTTGACTTAGAGACGACATGTCGCTATGTTGCCCAGGCTGATCTTGAACTCTTGGGCTCAAGCAATCCTCCCATCTCAGCCTCTCAAAGTGCTGGGATTATAGGTGTGAGCCACCACTCTGGCCTCGCTTTTAAAATTATAGCCCTGTCATTCTCCAATCATTTCCTCTTTGTATTCTAAATAGCACTTACCAATACCCAAAATCATATGTAAGTTTACTTCGTCCCTTTTCATTGGAATATAAGTTCCATGTATACAGGAGTTCTATTTCATGGCTTTATTCCCAACATTTAAAACAATGCCTCATGCCATACATGCTTCACATTTATTGAATGAAGTATCAGAATCCTGGTATTTGAAGTGGAGGGGCCTTGAGATACCATCCAATAGAGCCCTCTCATTGTCCAGATAGAAAAAAATGGGAACTCAAAAAGACACAGTGACTTGGCCAGGGTCACATAGTTAATGGGAGAGGTTTACCTAGGCCTACAAACAGCCCATTGTACATTGCTTGGGTGAACTGGCCTGTGTCCCCTCTGTGCAGCCCACATGCTAAGGATGGTTTTTACATTTTCAAGTTTTTGAAAAAAATTAATACTATTTCATGACACTCAAAAATGATATGAAATTCAAATTTCAGTTTCCAAAAAATATCTTTATTAGAATATAGCCATGCCCTTGCATGTACATATTGTCTATGGCTGCTTTCCTTCTGTAATAACAGTTGAATAGTTCCAATGAAGACTGTGATCTACAAAACAAAAAATACATACTATATGTCCCTTACAGGAAATATTTGCCAACCCATGCTCTAAACTATATTCCATTGCTGGGAATGTCTTCTCCAAACCTTTGTGGTGCTAAAATTCTGGTATTACTGCCAAGAATGAAAAGTAACAGAGGTAACAGAATGATGTGCACTGAATGTTGTTAGCTCCTTATTCATGTCTCTGACACCATATATATCTTTTGATATAGGGAACTGGTTATGCCAGCCCTTATGGCATCATTGTACTGCATAGGACTATAAATGTGGGCTAAATCCTTTCATTGTCCACATGAGAAAATAGGTTCTAAGAGCTTTGGCATCAGGTATACCTGAGTTAGACTTCTAGCCCCAGCTATGTAAGCAGATTAGTTGGGACTCTTTCCATTCAAGTGACAAAATCCCTACTTTAACTACCTTATGGTGGAAATTTCATTGGCTCATGGAACTGAAAAGTCCAGGTGTTCAAATAATATGGTTAGGAATCTGTCTATCTCTTGATTGTGTTTTCCTGTGAGTTGGTTTTAATCTCAGGCAGGCTCTCCTTAGTGGTCTCTAGAGAGGGACTTGAATCTCAGGTTAAAAAAAAAAAATTTTTTTTTAAACCCGGATCTGTCAGAATGTATCCCAGGACAGGGTCTGTATCTTTTTTCCTCCACACTAAGTCTTACTTGACTTGGATTACTGATTATACAGAATGACATTTAATTGTTATGTACCCTATGACATTTCTAAACTAGAAATATAATTAACAATTTAGGCTTAAAAAATTAAATTAAATTTTCCTCTTCTGCAAACAAGCCTCTACCATTTGAGAAGCTTTTGGGTGGGAGACCTCATCACAACGAAAGTTATTCCTCAAACATAGACTGAGCATCTCCCATGTGCCAGGCATGGTGGATGTAAAGATGAGATGGCACGGGACCTGTGCACTGTGATGTGTCATGATAAAAGGAAGACTCAGGAGCTGCAGGGACACCAGAGGATGGGGACCAAGCTGGAACAGGTGGTAAGGGCATAAGTGGTTTCCTAGAGAAGCAACATCTGACCTGAGCACTGGAACACTGATGTTTAAACATAAACCATGCCAGGTGCAGTAGCTCACACCTGTAATCCCAGCACTTTGGGAAGCTGAGATAGGAGGATAGCTTGAGCCCAGGAGTTAGAGACCAACCTGGACAACATAGTGAGACCTCATCTCTACAAAAACTTTTTAAAAGTTGGCTGGGCATGGTGGCACGCACCTGTAGTCCCAGGTACACAGATGGCTGACACAGGATCACTTGAGCCCAGGAGTTTGAGGCTGTGGTGAGCAATGATCATGCCATGGCATGCCAGTCTGGGCAACAGAGAAGACCCCTTCCCCCAACTCAAAAAAATAATAATAATAAAGTTTTTTTTTAATGTTTAAATCATACAAAAAGTTGTTTTGCTTTGTTTTTTTTTGAATCAGGGTCTCATTCTGTCACCCAGACTGGAGTGCAGTGGTATGATCACAGTTCACTGCAGCCTCGACCTCCTGGGCTCAGGTGCTCCTTCCGCTTCAGTCTCCCAAGTAGCTGGGGCTATAGGTGCATGCCATCATGCCAGGGTAATTTTTTTTTTCTTTTGTAGAGACAAGACGTGACCATGTTGCCCAGATTGGTCTTGAACTCCTGAGCTCAAGCAATCCTCTCTCTTCAGCCTCCCAAAGTGCTGGAATCACAGGTATGAGCCACCCCACCCAGTCCCAAGCAAAGAATTTAAGAGACGTGTTGAAGGAAGAACAAAGCCCTGAAGTGACAGAAATTTAGATTTAACCATAAGAGGAGTCAAGATGCTTCCAAATACCTATACGGATAGGATAAGACTTCTACAGTCTTCTACAATATGCATTTCTCTAACCATACTAAACTGTCTGTGCACCCCAAACACAATGGAATCTCCCAGATCCCCCTGTTCTTGTTCGGGATGTTCCCTCTACCTGAAAAGCCCCTTCTGCTCATCCCCGACCCCACCATTTGCCTAGCAGATATCACCCTACCTATCCTTATTGTCTCAAGGCAGTTAATTGCTTTTCTGCACCTTAAATACCTGGTTCCCTTTAGGCACGAATCACTATATATAACGTGTTTTCTAATTTGAAAAACGATTCTCACCAAAAATAAGATGAGCCTCAGGGGCAAGTTACCTCCCAGAAAGCAAACAAGTCAACTCTTCTAATATGTGGAATGAATCCTGGCTGCTGTACAATCTCATTCACTCCCATGGCTTCGACTGCCGTCACTGAGGTCTCTAAAATTCCTTTTCCTGGTTCCAGTCTTTCTTCTGAGCTAGAGACCCAGGTTTCTAGTTCACTCCTGGCACCTCCACTTGAATATTCCCCTAGTACATTGAGCCACAACTAAGCTCATTAATCTCTCTTGCTCTTCTCCATTGTACTGTGTTCCATGTCTTTGGAAACAACCTGATGAAGAAATAAATAATGTATTTATTTCTCCTATATGTTATATAGTTGGTGATAGCATATATGATATTATGTAGAGTCAAATATTACATTTGTGTCTCTTTTATATGTGTGTGTATATATATATAATTATATATGTGTATATACAACTTACCTAGTGGGGAAAGCCTGCACTACAAGGGGCCTGCCCTCCAAAAGATAATTCTGGGGTTTTTTTGGTCCC